ATATGTTTGATTATGTTGGGCCACTGTGATTTGCCAAACTAACAGTTCTCCATTTCACGTTGAACCTGTGTTTTGTTAAACACCAGCTATTGCCTGGCTACTTCCCACCATGCTGCTTTTATTAATTCTGTCTTAGGTCTGCTTCTTTTGCTGTTTCTTTTCTGTGCCTTCATTCTCAAAATATCTTTAAGATATTGCATTTAGCTGCTGACATAGAGTTATTAATCTTCTGAAGTCCACAGTATTCCCCAAGTCTGTATATTTATCCTCATCTTCAGTGTTTCTCTGATTTAACTGTTCCATTTTGTTTTGACTTTTGATTATCCCAGGGCCCGATTGGTATGGATGGAAAGCTGGTAGGTGATTTATTCAAAACCAGTGCAATTTAGGTCTTGCATATATTCCCTCTTTGCTCTTTTAATTACTCATGCTGAAATGTATATTAGTCACATACTGGCTTCCTTCAGAATAACTTCTTCAACTCTAGTAGCATGGATTTTCAACATATTGCTGAAAAACCTCTTCATCTTTTGTGTCTATCCAAGAAAATGGGGGTCAGCTGTGCTACTCTGTTTCCTTATCATTTTCTATCTGAATAAGATTGGAAGACAGATGTTCCTACTTCGGTGCTCTGTCCAGAGAATGCTCCACAAGTGTAGTTTGATGGGGCCTTTTAAAGAGCTGGATATCCCTTCTGACCACTTATCTATGATTCTTACTGGTTTCCTTTTTCCACAGATTCTTAATTTTTGTGTTTTAATTTCTCTATCTGGATTTTGCTTGCTGATTAGATATGAACAGCCTCATGTCTCATAATAACTGCATTTGTACCAATTCGAGATATTCTTTAGGGATATGCTGCTTGAATTAAGTTAGACTTAACCTTTAATTTAATACAATGCATTTTTTAATGCATTTGTACTTTTGTGTATATTTGTGTAGCTACATGTTTGGATGTATGAGCCTGGAAGTTTATGTTCCCTGCTCTTTAAAGATTAACACCATGGAAAGGTGTGAAAATCCAGTTTCTGCACTTTCTTGCTCTTGCTTTTACTCCCTCTTTCTCGCTTTTCAGGATAGCCGTTTTCACTGATGCCCGATGCATACTGTCTTTTCTGTCCTTTTACTTACTCCAAGCCCCATCTCCTTTTCAAAGCTCAACTTGTTGACTTACCGTGTCAACTTTCATTTTCTTCTCTTAAGACTTTTGCTGTGCTCCTTGAGGTTTCTTTCTGCTATTAAGTAACTTGTCTGTAAAGTTTGCAGCATACAGTCAATAGGCTTTTCCTTTCATCTCCTCTTCTAGCGGACTGGTAGCTTACCTGTTAACTTCAGCTACACCATGTGTATGTCCTTTTCTGGTTTAGTATAATTTATGTATCAGGATCTAATGTTAGGTTAAATTGCTAGGAAGGGATTAACTATCGACAGTGGAAGAGCTTCCATCATGGTAATTAGGCTGCCAAATGTAAGCCCTTTCTTTACCGCAAAATAGTGTATTAAGCTGGTAAATAAGAGTACAGAAGGGAAAATTGTTCTGAAGATTTTACTGAAACCATGACATGTTATGCAGCTATACCCACTGTAGCCATGGAGATTAAAAAAACCCAAAATCAGCATTCAGTATGGATAATCAAGTATGTGAGTAATGATCCAGAGGTTCAAAGCAGCAACAATGAAAATGTACCTGATCAGTTACTGGCGTTGGGACTGATCCCTCAATGCATGCAAAGAACAGCAGTCAGTTGGTAGCTACAATCAATGAATTTTAGAGTATGTAGCAGGTTTGAATAAAGAGATGTTCATTAGAAAAAAAATCATAGAGTAATGCTGACTTTTTTTTAAGAGTATTTTCACCCTGTTTGTTATCTGAAATTAAGAGAAATACTTCCAGCTAAAACATTTTATTCCACAAGTAGCATGAACTGGGGGTGATTTATGCAGTAATGAACCAGGGTGATTTCAGCAGTCCTGGGGTCATTTTTGGAACACAAACAGATGAACTGAGATTGAGCTTGCTCAAATGTGTTATAATATCAGATTGAATTTATGTTAGAGGGTTTTTTAATGAACACAAAGGAACTCACAGAGCTTTATTCCTGACCCTTTCACAGCATACAAAAATGTGAGAAGGCAAAATTAACAGCCCTTTTTTCTCTCCCATGCTTTGAATTGCTGTTGTGTGACAGTGAGCCTTTCCAATCAAAAAGGTCACTATTTTGATGCCTTTCTACCTGTAGCTTTGTAAGAAGAGCTGATGAGTTCCATAATTCAGTGCTTGCTGCATCCTCTGGGTAATGTCACTGGATCACTAGTGAGAAGGGAAAATTACACTGTAACTGCAGTGGCTGGTAGGGCAAGGAGTAGCTAAGAGCATACAGAAATATTGAAGGATTGGAAACCATTGTAAAAACCATAAAATAATTACTTTCACTAATGTAAAGATCCTTCCATGCTAAAGGAGCTCATAGGCAACAGGTTAAAAAAAATCCTGCTAAGAGTACTTTTGTGTTCATCATATGCACTTACAACTAAATGCAGGACAATTGCAATATTGACAGCATATATGAACTAAGAGCAATGCAACTGTTATATTCCCTGATATCTCATAGAATTCTCTGCATAAAGAAACATTGTCATATAAAAATTGATTTTCTAGCTTTCCTCTCTCTGTATTGCAGAAAAGTAATTATAAATGCACAATAACAGAGAGGCAAATTTTAATGTTGTTGAGTCTGGGAGTAGAGAACACTTTCATGGGAGCATGATTCCAACCCTCACATTCCAACCCTCACAACAATATGTTTGTGTTATGTGTGTATGTCTTGTATATCATACATATAGCGTGTTACATCGAAGAAAAAAGTCAATTTTCAAATCTCTTTGGTTAAATATATATGTATATAATATGTTTATTTGCTTTCTATCACTAAAAATCAACTTTTTGTTGCAACATTTGGTAATTTCAGACCTTCACTTACGTTTTGGTTTTTTTAACACATATGCATTTGAGACAGCTTTTAATGATTTGGCCAAAATGTATTAAAACATTAGATATACTTGTGAGCAAATGCATTCTAAGGTTTATATATAAGGTTTGTATTCAGAGGCCTCAGTTTAGATAATTTATATGAACTAATGTATCAGCAATACTGCATCAGTAAGCAATTCCTGATGATTTTAAGATCAGGTATAGCATATAATAGATTAAAACCCCCTGTGAGGGGAAGGTTGAGGTAAAGTCTGAGTGCTGAGGAGTCTCAGTTATATTCATTAACCCAGTGTGATGTGTAACTTCATAGAACTCACCAATTCAGAAAGCTTTACTTAATATTAGAACTTGCAAACCTCAGACAGTAATTTATTTATTTTTTAACCTCTATGGTGCAATGTTGTTCTAAGGAACTAATACAAAACTGCAGCATCTACTACAAGGAATGCTTTAGGCTGCATTCAGTGTAAAGATTAGATAGCCACAATAATTCTGTGTTTTACCATTATTCCTCTGTAACCTAATTTGTAATATTTCTTGTATTTCAAAAATATTTTTAAATTTTCATGCGAATTTAAATTTTTTTAATTTAGAGCAAAAAGTCTTATAAGTTGGTAAAAAAAACCCAACCAAAACCATTTTCTTCAGCTGCATTTCTTGTACACAATTGTTCCCAGTTGAAATGTTTTCTCCCCCATCACCTTTAAAATCACAGAGAATCACAGAATGATGGCAGTTGGAAGGGATCACTGGAAGTCATCTGGCCTAACCTCTCTGCTCCAGCAGAGCTATCTAGAGCAGCTTGCCCAGAATCGTGTCCAATGGCTTTTGAATATCTTCAAGAATAGGGACTCCACAATCTCCTTTGTGCCTTTGGGTATCCCCACAGTAAGAAAAGAGTTTCCTGATGTTCAGACAAAAAAGTTTCTACTCTCCGTAGCAATACTTTCTAGCTAAAATGAAGAGGTTTTATAAGACTTAAAAGATTTCTCCGTGCTCAGGTTTTGTCAACAGAAGGAAATGTAGTTTCAGTTCAACTGAAATATTATTTAAGTGTCATAAAACACTAAAAGCTAAGCTAGCCCTAAGAGTTTAAAGAAATTCTCTCTTTATAGAGAGAAATATATAAATATTTGTCTCTGTCTTACAGTGTGAGCTGATTGTCTGGGTGATGTAGTTCGTAATCACAGCTAAAATACAGTTTGATAAAATAATCCTGCTTCATACAAATAATTTTTAATAAGTGGGCTAAAATAACTGATGACTTTCAGTGGCTGTCCTAGGCTAGGGACCTTACTGATAGGAAGTCTTCTCTGTAAGGGTTTGCAGCAACAAGAGATACATACAGCTCCTCAGTGGTCAAAGGGTGCCTCTCCAATTTCCAGGGTTGGTCTAAAGGGGATGTTGATAAATAAGAGAGAGGAGATGCATCAGCTGTCTCTTGGGCTGACTGACAAAGGTTCATCTACTTTTCACTTGGTTTTAATTTTGGTCGTACTTACTTAAAACTGTGGTGCTTGCAGCAAAGGCAGAAAGACTATTGTTTGTTCAACAATGTGTCCTTCCAGTTTTGAGACTTCGTTCGTTCAATAAGCAGTAATTAGCACGTCCTTGAAACATGGAGCTGAGCTATAATAAAGAAAAAAAACCCAATACTTGCTTCTAAATCAGCTCAGCATCTGTGGATTCTTTCTCACATGAGAATTGTTAAATTAGGTGTTTCTGTCACTTCTAGTTGTTATGACTGTCTAAAATATGAAGTTTCTGAAATGCAGTTTCAGTGATGTGTTATTCTAAGTTATTTATAGAATCAGTTGCAGGAAAGTTCATCAGTTTGAACTAAAACATTCAAATTCAATATAGACTTGAGTCAAAAATCTAACTTCAATATAATTACTGTATTTTTTATTATCTCCTTATTAGAAAGTACTGTAACTGTTTTCTACTATTTAAGGAGTTAATCCTTGCCATAACTTTCCATAACCTTTTCTTTTGCTTGTTTTTTCAGGGTCAGCCTGGTCCTCAAGTAAGTGTCATTTTATTTTCCTACATAAGTAATAGCTAGATACAGGGCCCACCAAATTCAGGTTATCTACAAAGTATTTGGATTTTTTTTTTAATCCTAGTCTAATAAACTAGAAACTAGTAACCATTCCATAATTCAGAAAGGCAAATATTTCCCAAGAGAGAAACATGCCCCCCTGAGACGGTTGAGTTTCCTCAGCTGTTTGACCAGATGGTGGGGTCAACAAAGTAATACTGAATAAAGCAAATCTCCTAACTACGGCTTGAAACTTTGCCACTGAACTTTAAAGCAAGATAAAATAACTTAGCAAATGTGCAACAAATGTAATACTTCAACTGCTTATTAATCACATGCTAATAATGTTGCTATAATCCAGGCAGCCTTCAGTTATTTTAAATATTGCACTGCTAGCTATTTTGATTAATTATATACACTGCTTTGAATTAGTTCTGCTTTATTTAAAATAGTAGAATTTTGTCTTGTGAGCTGTAATTGAAGACGTGGAAATATAGGGACCAAACTTCAGTTCTAAGGTAGAAATAGACCAGCAGAAAGGAAACATTATGTATAGCAGAAATTAAATGTGAATTATTTGAGTGAAAGAGGACTATAAAAATATGAAGGAGCAAGAAAATAGAAAAAAAAAAAAAAAGTCAGTGCCAAAGCCCAACTTACTGAACTCAGTTGAAAAACTCAACCTTTCTGTATACTCCAGATGCTGTGTAGGAAGCTCGGTTTGTGGGCCCATCTTTGCACAAGTGAGTTGGCTGAACCAGGATTTCTCTGAGGGCCTTTTATCATAATCAGAATCATAATTAAAAGTTAAAGCTTTACTGCCTTTTTGACTGATAATTCTTTTAAGTTAAGATTTTCATTATGAGAAGCAAGCATTTTCTTCAGATTTTTCAGTTTTAATCATTATTTTCTGTTGAAAGGCAGACTGCATTAGAAAGCCTCAAACCACTTAGTCTGAATGCCCAGTATCCTTGCAGTACCAGACTCCATTTAATAGTATCGTATAAGAAGTTCATATGATACTGGAAATGGCCACTGCCCATAGCACTTAGGTTTTGCAGTGGGCTCTTGATGTGTGGACTATGCAGAGAGAGAGGTATCTTCAACCTCTGTGCTGCTGGGGGTTGATGAAGAGGGAGATTGTAATTCTGTGTGGCACTCTAGCTCTGAACAAGCTCTGTTGAGGACCTGAGGCATATACTTGAGCCCATGGGCTGCCCTATAGTTGATGTTGACTTGTGCTGCCACCCGTGTCTTTTCCTTCTGGGTCTGGACCCCCACCTCCCACATTTCAGTTGCTTAGCAAGTGTCTCTTGCTTGTAAACAGCTGCTCAGTCTTTAGAACACATATCTCTACATAAAATGCCCTGGGGTAGCTGTAAGCAAAGAACCACAGTGGAGATTGCAGTATTCAGTGCAGTTTCAAGGGCAGAAAGGCAGAGATATCTTGTCGCAATTGTAAGAGAAGTGAGGTGCAAACCATAGGAAAAACCCACTAAAAGTTTCCCCCCCCAGTTGTATTAAGAGAGAATTCTTACATCCTAACTTCAGTAACTCATCCCAGTGGAAGTGCTCAGTTCTGGGTCTTCGCCATTATTCTGAGCAACACATACCATTATTCTTAATAATGCCTTTTCCTCCTTTTCAGCTCAAGATGGACTTATTGTGTCAGGAGGATATGTATGTATTTGGCTGATTGAGTCCAGGTATAATTCTTGCAAGAGCGCTGGTGGGGAAGTCATAGTGGCATCAGACAGTCAAGAGTCGTGTTTGGCTTTAGATCAAGATGCTTAAACCTAGAAGTTTGTGTGTAGATGTTGACATATGAGGCGTCTAAGCTCTTCTTGCAGTCGGTGAAGGTTAAATCAACACTCAAAGCACCTAGAAACCTGTTCATCTCATTGTAAACTCCTCAGGCTCAATTACACTGCCTGCATACAGGCATTTGTTGCTGCATGAGATGATCCAGCATCTCCAGCTTAGGCACTGGCTGTTTTATGTCCAAAGGCTTGAGTCTGTGCTGGACCATTGTTGTAGCTGTCAGTCACAGGCAGCTGTCTTGGATTTCTAGAGAACCTCTCACATAACACTGGCTGTACACATTCGTGCCTCTTAATTCCAGATTCTGATTGTAGGTGGCTACTGAATCAGATAACTGTTCTGCTGAATTGCTTTCTAACCAATGTTGACATCTACGTGTCTCAGGCAACTACATGTAGGCTGTACATTTAGATGTCTTTCCCCTTAAACTAAAACTCGGATTCAGATAACTTAATGGGACAAGCATTTTTTAAATATTGAAAGCTGTGGTTGAAAATCTCAAGACTTTTAAAAATTAACTTTAAAGTATCAACAGAAAACAGAATCTGTTCACATATAGATAAAATAAGTCAAATTCTCTTGGTTTGTTCTTAAAATAATGCAGACGTTTCAGCTAGCTATGGTTGTCAGAAATTTCCCTGGTCTTAACTGTGTCCATAAGAAATTCAAAACTAAAAGTATTGTCAGTTTGGTTAGTCAGTAAAGGCTTCCTGGCTTCAAACAACAAAACTGTTATGCTGACTACAGAAGCACTTAAAAAGTTTCTGATGTCATAGCCATGGAAGTCCACACTAAGATCAGAGATAAATTCTTATCCTTCTTATGCTCAGTGTTTTACTAACACCTGTCCTTTTTTGCTATGGTTTTCCAAAAGTACACACTAAATTCACTCAACAAACACATAATTAATGCATACAAATATAAATCCATAACAGATCAGTAACACCTCCTGTCTTTTTATCTTTAATGTTTTACTGGTTATTTTCTTCAAAATTACATAATGAAAGATAATTTTGCTTCATATATTCCCATTTTAAGTAACAGGAAACTTTATTACAACTCATGGCCTTTTTTTTTTTTTGTTTTTTTAGAAAAAGCTTATTTTTCTGTTGTATCTCTGAAAAGTAAAGACCATAATCAACAGCTAAAAAATTTCTAACATAACCTTTAAAAAAATAAAATTCCTTCTTGTGATTTTGGTTTTCTGTTAAAAAGAGAGCTGTTTTAAATACCATGTAAGATGTGTTTCTTTGTAGAAGAACAAGTAATAAAATATTTAATATTTTTGCTGAAACTTATATTACTTATATTCTGGCTTTTGAATGACCTCAAAGAATATCTGCTTTTTCTTCTCTAGAATGTAAATAAGTGTTTGGATTACCTTGTACCAGAAAGGTTTCTTTCCCAGTAAATCTATACAACAAATTCTGCCCATAAATCCTCTATTTGAAATAATGGAAGTATTCCTGTTTGTCGAAGAACAGGGTTTAGCTTCTAGTCTAAAGTTAATTCCATAAGAAATGTACTGTCTGGGTAAAGAGAGAAGGCGTGCTATTTTTAACTTTTTTGATTGTTTAGAAGTGAAGTTCATCTAAATACTGGAAACCAATGCTTTCAGTATTATGGTGAAGGAAGACAAAATAATCCTTTAAAAAATCTTGCTGAACCAGAACTATTAACAACTATAAATATAGGGTGGTAGGGTGATGTTTAGGTGTAACTTTGTCTCAGTCAGCCACTGTTTTTATGTTCGGGGCGATATCCTTTCCCTGGCCTATCTCTAGCACAACAGACTTTCTTCCTCGTGTCAGCACACATGATCACTCTCTGTGTGGGACTTTGAGATACAGCAGCCTCACAGATGCCTCTCCCTTCTCTTTGGCAGCCATCCAAATCTGCATTAGAAATGGGCAAAATACTAATGATTGATATTTGTTTTCATGGGATTCTTGTTTTCCTTCGTGTGAAATGTCCATGGATGTGATGTTATAACAGTCTGAAATTTTCCAGTGCTTTGTGTATGATAAAGGGTTGCCATAGCAATTCTGGTGACAAATGCACGTGTGTCTTTTTCACCATCGGGGTCTAGGGTATGTCACGGGAGTATTTTTAATTTCTGATTACAGAAATTCTGATTCATGCTTAAAGTGGTTATTACTGGCTTGTGCTGTCAACAGAGCTGGTGGGAACCATTTTAACTTTTCGTTTTCTGGTTTTTGTCAAAGGACAAAGAAACACAGTCAGCAGGACATAGGGCATAGTTTTGAGTGGTTTTGGAAGGCAGTAGTCTATGGAAGAGATTTTTCATTTTCTAGAGAACAGTGTGATGGCAGGGACGCTCCTAGACGTTAGAAAAGAGTTGAGTATCTGGCAGCGGAAGGATGGGAAAGGGGTTGTATAAAGAAAATGCATTTTAATTCCTGGTGAGTTTCCCTTTCAGTTTTGGTAGCTTGGATAGCCTTCTGCATTTCAAGACCTGTTAAATATTCCTCTCAGAGCATGCCATTCAGTAGTGGGGCAGTTGATAACATCGAGTGGTCATGTATGTGTTTTTGTGGCTATGAGCAAGGTACATAATATGTCTTATTGACTAAAGCTGCAAAGTGGCCTGTACCTGTCAGACCCTTAGAGTTGGACATGCTTCTTTTGTTCTGATCACTATAAATTGAGATGTAAGCTCCATATTACTTGTTTCCAGCAGTTTGCTTTCAGGAATGCCTCAAGAGTCTTTACTTGCATAGAGAGTGGCGGAAGAAGGCAGGAAATACTCTTAAAAAGGACAAAATCAGCCTAAGATTGACGAAACAGTTCATCACCTAGAGCTACATGGTGCAGTAATGTTGCTCTTCCTGAGACAAGCCCAGTGGTTGTACCCAGGCCATTAGCTGTTCCCACTGTAGAGAATGATCTTGTGGGGTGTTTCTCCTTCCAGAAACTGATACTCTAAGCTCCTCTGTAAACTTCTGATCCTGCTGAAGGATTGTATGACTCTGTTTGAATATGCAAATGCTAATCTGCTTTTGAGTTACAAGTTGCAGGTCAGATTTTGCTGTCAAACTTTAACAATTAGTTTATTAACATCAGGTAGCAGACTTGTAAAAGTCTGTTTCTTACTTCGTATGAATAACAAAGTTAAGTCCTTGATCCCTCTGCTGCTAATAATC